CGAAACAGCCCCTCCCGTCGGTGAAGAGGAACCGGATTGTGTCCGTCCATTAAAAAGGTGTATGTCGAAATGCGGCTGCCCGCTCATGGCTTTGTACTGTATGACCGTCCTTAGTATGGTTCTGTTATTTCGAACCCCTCGCTCAGAGTATGACACAGCATCCTCCACTCTCGCCCTTCTCAAATGAGAGCAAGGCTGCTCGTGTCGCAGCTTCGAATACGTCGTCAACTCCCTCTCCTGTCAGCGACGAACATTCCAGGTACTTCCGGGCGCCAATGTCGTGTGCGATATCTGTGGCTACTCGACTCGAGACGAACTGCTGTGACTTCTTTCTCATCTCCTCCATAGCGACCGGATCTTCTCTGAGATCCTTCTTCAGGCCGACCAGGATGATCGGTACACCAGGACATCTCTCATTGGCCTCCTCAACCCACTGTTCATGGAGTATTAGCATGTGCTAGACAAAGCCCCGAATATTGCCTACCTTGTGCTTGACGTTATCCAGAGAGTCGGGGGTGTCGATCGAGAACCCAACGAGGATTACGTGGGCTTTCGAGTATGCCAGAGGTCGTAATCGCTCATAGTCCTCTTGTCCTGCCGTATCCCACAGCGCCAGTTGAACGCTCTTTCCGTCCACCCTGCAATCCGTCACGTAATTCTCGAAAACTGTAGGGACCTGGGTTTGGTCAGTGGTTGTAGAGAGTTTGAAATGTCGATTCTGAACTCACGTAGTGCTAAGATAGGATGTCAGCAGGTTCCTTCGCAAGGATGTATGTGTGGCTAAACTTACTGTTGGGAAGTACCCAAGAGTGAAGACACTGAGCAGTGAGGTCTTCCCACACGCACCGTCACCAATGATGACCAGCTTCCTGTATTCGTCGCTTGTCAGCACGTTTCCACCGAAAGTGTCTAACGACCAATCCCCTCTGTGTTTAAAGTCTGTCTATTCGAGTCAAAAGACCTCGATCCGTCCGTCTTCCCTCTCTCAGAAAGCCCCGTCGGAAACTGGGGACGGCGATTGAATCTTCTACCCGGAGGTTTCCCCTTCCAACATCCGTCGTTCAAGGGGCCGTTCACGTACCTCCGCATAACATTCTGGTTCTGTTGTTGGGCCATGGTGCCGATGCTGTCTATCGTATGATCGTAGACTGGAAGACGGCGTAGTGGGGAGAGGAGAGACTGGAAGTTCGCAGAGCCTGTACCAGTGAAGGTAAGGAGAAAAGTGCTTAGTTCTCTTGGGAATTTTTGAAGGGTTCGACGGGTTCAAGTAGTGACAGGAGGAAAGATCGGATGTCTGCACAGAGCTTCTGTTCGGCCCTGTAAGAAACTTCTTGTCGATACGAGCGCCGGGGCGGCGTTTGCAGGGCAAACCTCGGATAAGTAAGCAGAATTGGAATTTGGAAGTGAGGTGAGTCGCAGCGGATGTGACTATTGAGGCGGGATGAAGAAGGGAATAATTGTCCCTAGAAACGAAGGGGATGGGCAAGGAGAAGTGGAAGTAGTGGAAGTTGAAGTTAGAATGATAGAAGTATTTATTTACTATCTATTTAGATTTCCCCTATTTTTTTGGGGGGGGGATGAACGGGCGAGCGAGGATGAAACGAGGTAGGTATGTCCGGCAGGAATTTCAAGGCTCAACCGGGCTGAGTCGAGGCCCGTGCTGAGCTCTAAGCTGTGTTGGGCTTAGTGACGATCAGTGACGATGCCGGCGTGGGTGGAAGTGAAAGTGGAAGTGGAAGTGGGAGTGAACTGGGTGTGGAAAGTGAAGCTATTCGGAGATCTAGTGTATTGACATGAAGGAATAAGGATTGGACTGGGATTTGGATAGAGTAGTATAGTTAAGCAGGTATAGACTGAAATGACAGACTGAACTGAGAGACTGAAAGACTGAAATGACAGTCGGAACTCACTGATTGAACGATCATCGGCTATATATTCTGACCTGCCGCCATTCTTTGGTGCCTGAGGCCTGTCACTCACGATACTTCCCATCTCCGTTAAACTGCTTCCTTTACTCGCTCAACCAACCACGCCCCCGACTCGAGATTGCCCTTCACTTACCACCATACCACCTACCTACCACTTGCGCATCTACACCCTAATCTTCCGAATACCCTCAATCTCACTCTCAAAGAATTAATCCGCAGCGCAGAGCCTCGATCCCCCCCTCGTATCGCGCAACAGACAGACAGGCACCGTGGTGGGGCAATACACAACAACTCAACGATCAACTATACATTCGTCTCCGTGAGTTTTCACTGGAATACCCTCGCCATTTCGGAACATGCAGTCTTCCCGAGAAGTCGTGTGCGCTGAGTCAAGTCTAACATCGGTGTTCGCAACAGTTGCTATCTTGCCCCGTCCATGACCCGACGTCAACACTGCATCTCATCGGAATGCCCGCGAACCAACGGCAAAAGACTGCTCAGTCTCCTCCGTCTCCCTCGACTAAGGCCACTGCGAAGTACACGAACAAGGATGGTTCCAAGTTCATAACTGTCCCCAAGAGCTCGAATATTTCCGATTCGTCTGAGTCATCTCCAGCCGCCATGGCCCAACCCATCACCAAATCGAACGGACAAACGCCGACCTCTCCGCCTCCCACCAATGGCTCCGCACCGGCCGTGAATAGGAAGAAGCAAAAGAGGAGAGAGAAACAGGCGGCGAAGCTGGCTGCTGAGCAACCGACGATGCCCCAGACGAACGGTGTACGATCCCAGAGTACCACCCAGGAACAGATACAGGATGTGGAGCAGCGTTTTCGGGACCAAACACTGGATGAGCAGTATGATGATGGCAATGGCCACTTTGATCCGGCGGAAGGGGAGCCGTATTACAGCGAAGAAGATGGCGACGCATATTCCGGCTCATATGGTCAAGCTGGCTCTCCTGCAAACGGATACACGCACCCAAAACGCTCAGGAAAGGCGTCCAAGAAGAAAAAGAAGGCCAAAGCATCGCAGCAAGAACCCCCGCATCCTCATCACCACGGAGCGAACGGGGGTGCACCCCGCTCTCAACTACCGCTTCCTTTGTCCACGCTAGCTACAAATATGCCTCGAGGCCCGGGAATATCAAGGGAGAAGATATGGAATACTTCTTCCCAAGAGGAGCGCGAGCGAATAAAGGAATTCTGGCTCTCACTTGGCGAAGACGAGCGCAAGTCACTCGTCAAGGTTGAAAAGGATGCGGTACTGAAGAAGATGAAGGAGCAACAGAAGCACTCTTGTAGTTGTACTGTATGTGGTCGCAAACGCACAGCCATCGAGGAGGAGCTCGAAGTGCTCTACGACGCATATTACGAAGAGCTCGAGCAATATGCGAACCATCAGGGAGATGGAGGCCCTTCAATGCCCCCGCCTCGTCGTTTCGGGACCATTAGTGGCCTCCAACCCCCACATATTCTTCCTCAAACCTTCCATGGCCAGCAGCCTTCACGTGGCAGGATAGTGGAACATCCGGGCGACGATGAGGACGACGAGGGCGACGAGGACTACAGCGAGGACGACGGAGACGAGGATGACTACAGCGATGAGGAACCGGAAGAAATTCCGCGGAGCCACGCGCAGGACTTTTTCAATTTCGGAAATAGTCTAACTGTGCAAGGGGGAATCCTGACAGTAGCGGACGACCTGCTTAAAAACGACGGGAAAAAATTCATCGAAATGATGGAGCAGCTTGCAGAGCGTAGAATGGCACGAGAGGAAGATGCTCGGCAAGCCTTTCCGAGCAATTATGGTCACCCGCAGAATGGCGCCATGCACAATCATAACCATCCACATAACCATCCGCCTCCGCCCGATGATGAGGAGTATGATGACGAGGATGAAGAAGATGACGAGTATGACAGTCAGGATGAGGACTACGACGATGAGGAAGTGGTATGTGAAGGAATGTTGACGGTTGGAATATTCTAACTCCAGGCAGGATACCATGACTGAAGAGCAGCGGATGGAGGAAGGACGCCGAATGTTCCAGATATTTGCAGCTCGGATGTTTGAACAAAGAGTACTGACAGCCTACAAAGATAAAGTCGCGAAAGAGCGACAGCAGAAACTTCTCGAGGAGCTTGAAGAGGAGAGTCGGGCGGGCGAGCAGAAAAAGGCCAAGAGAGCCAAAGATGCCCAGAAAAAAAAGGAGAAGTTGGCGCAGAAAAAGCAACTTCAGGCAGAGGAAAAGGCCAGGCGCGAGGCCGAAAAGGCCGCCGAGGAGGCCGCTCTCCGCGAAGCGGAAGAGAGAAAGGCCGAAGAACAGCGTCAGAAAGCCGAGGAGAAGCGAAAGAAGAAGGACGCCCAGCGTAAGGCCGAGGAAGAAGAGCGGATTCGGAAGGAAGCCGAGAAGCAGCGACAACTTCAAGAGAAGCGCGAACGCCAAGCTGAAATCGAGCGCAAGCAGCGTGAAGCCAAGGAAAAGGAGCGTAAAGAGAAGGAGGCTTTAAGGCAGAGAGAGAAAGAGGCTAAGGAAGCCAAAGAACGTGAAGCCAAGGAACGACGCGAAAATCTCGAGAACGAGAAAAGAGAGAAGGATGCAAAGGCCAAATCTGAGAAAGAAGCGAAGGAAAAGCAGAAGCGTGAGGAGAACGCTGCTCAGCAAGCAGCCGCCCAAGCTGCTCTCATTGCAACTCAAGTGAAGCGACCACCGGTACCGATCCCTGCGAACCTCCAACCTCATCCTGTAGTTTCGCCACACATCCCAGTCGCTACTCCAGCAATAATCCCCAAGGCGCCGACCCCTGTCAAGTTGCGTACGACCTCCTCACAACAAGAATCTAATCCATCCGTACCTCAAACTCCCCAAACCGTCAGCGCTAGCCAAAATGTGTCGCCAGTTCCATCTACCCCTTTGCAAGACAGTCCTGGCCCCATCGGACCCCCAGGCAAGCACCAAAATTCACACCTGTTCCATCCCCAGGCGACCTCGCCCATACATGCAACTGTAAAAGGTCCTCCGGGAATTCAACAGCCACTTCCTTTTGCATCAATGGGACCAATGCTTAATCATTCAACCATGCCGATCATGGGCCCAGGTTTTGGGCCGGGACGAATGCAACATGACCCAATGTTTCCCAACCAACCTCTGGGAGGATTTCGACCTATGCCTGGGATGAATGGAATACCTCATCAACCTGGAATTGGTATGCATATGCCACAAGCAAGAGGTTTTAATATGCCCTATGGTCCCCCAGGATTTCCTCAGCAAATGCCGAATGGTTTGGGAGGCATTGGACAGATGTTTGGCGTCTCTAAGGATGCAACTCCGTCACAGTCTCATTCACGACATCACTCTGGCACCTACGATGTTCCAAGCACGCAAGCTCAACCTATTGGTCGGCCCGCCCCTATTGGTCGCCCAGGTAGCGTTGTACACGGCCAACGTCACGGCGATTTCGAAAAGAATGATATGGACGAGCTAAGTAATCGTCTGGGAAGTAGTGTATTGTTAGATGATTCCGACGAGCCATTAAACCCAGGCGCTGGAGTCAGACGTTCGAGTGCGGCCCCTATCACCCGACAGCCCTTTGTTTCGCCCTTTGGCAATCCCTCTTTTGGTGCCCCAGTGAACAATTACAACTCATGGGGTGTTCCAAATCCTTTTGGGCCATCTTCTCTGCCTGGTTCAAACTTTATGGGGGGCGGTGGTTGGGGCTCCGCAAATAGCTCTTTCGGAGCTGTTGGTCTTCCTCAGCCAATGCGACCGTCACATTCTCGCCCCATCACTGTTCGGCTACTGATTACTCAAGCTTGCAAGAACCTAGAAGGCACGTCGCCGGATGGTTACTTCGATATCAACCTCGTCAAGAGGGAAGTCGACAGTATCAACACAAGTGACGACCCAGTTTCCGAGGCCGAATTGCTCGATATCTGTGAAACAGAAGGCAACGCGGTGAATGGTGGAGGCTCGTTCGATGTGCGCGCAATTGGAACAACTCGATCAATCCGCTACGAAACCGATGCACTTCCACCTCATAGACCCTTGGGCGCTCCCGGCGAAATTGGTAGTCCCATCATGGGCAGCGGTAACTTCTCTCGCTTCCACGGTCCTCCTCCCGGCTTCTAAACAGCCTCGGACATCCTCTTCGTCACCCCGTTGGACGAACATTCTTCTTTGTAACATTGCATCCTTTCGTCGCCAAGGACTGGCTGGCTGGCGTCTTTACTCTCTCCGTCGCTTTCTGCGTCGTCGTCGTTATACCTATGCTCGATCTGCACTTTGACTCGGACATTGAGTGGGGGCTTGGGCTTGGTTGGTTCTTCTTGCTCTGCATGAGTAGGCTGGCTGAGCAGTCGATTGTGTGTAGAGACAGAGCGAGCGAGTATACTGTATTAGCATGCGTATATTGATGCTAGCACTTCTACCGATGGTAGTTAAGTGGGAAATTAAAGCCAACTCCGAGATTGCTTTCTTTTCTCCCTTTTCGTTTTCTCTGATATGGCTTTGAAGTGACTTGAAATTTTAATTTTACAACAGTATTCCATTTCGGCAGGTCTACTGCATAGGTAGGTTGTATCGGTATGGCATCCAGTTGAAAAGGTCAGACTTACATAGTCGTTCGTTGACTTTGAGAGAGCGGTTATATATTGTGGTGGAGTTGGGGCTCTGTATTTGTTTTGTCCATGTATATAGTACTGATGCTAGGCACCTTTGTCACGTGGGTGCGCTGCATGCTCCGGCCCTGCTAGGCACGTGGTTAGGTCACGTGCAGGCTCCTATATAGACGAGTAGTTGGTTCCTCCCTGAACCAGCACCACAACACACACAATACAATACACGTACTCATAGCACACATTCGAGTGTCCTTCGATCGTCCTCCTTTTCCCCCCTTATTCACCTACGATTCTACCATGGCTATATTCACATATATCTCTTGATTTGACGTTGGGTATATGTCGGAGCTCTTCCCCTCCACAATATACATATATATATATATTTATATTTCATTTGTTTGGTTTGCCGTCTTTCGAAGTTACAAGTGGAGGAGGAAGATATCTATTCTCTTATCTTTGTCTCGGTGCCGGCTTGGTGATGACGAGACGTTGGTTGCCCAGGGAGTTCTATGAAATCGAGACGTGAGTTATTTTTTGGTTCTGTATATAAATCTTCACGTTATTTTGTCTTGGACGTATGTCAAGCTGACTTTGATCTTGAAGATGTAGATGCAAAACACAGACTTGTCACCGTAAGAGCCTACTATTTAAATGTCCCTTTTACGTGCATGGTTTTGTGATGGAGAATGAGAGCAGGTTAATGCGGGCATATATACCACAGCTGCAAAGGGAACTTTTAGTTTCTAAACGTGTGTCTGTATTCTCGTATCAATTTGGGGAAGAGTCCGGCTGGGTGTAGCGTGCACTGCCTGATCGACTACTCTCACCTCTCTGCGTACCTCCTATCTTCCCCGAGCCAATCCTAGTACCTCTCAGCTTCTCAGCATTCATGTCGACCTCGATACCGTAATCATCACCTGCCTCCTTCTCCTTGCCCTTCCAAGCCGAATCCAATCCGAGATCAGCGAAAGGGCGCATCTCCCGTGGCATCTTGGCACCTCCCCGACTCTTGCGGACAGGCAACCCGTCGTCGCTGGCCCAGCCGCCATCATCACCACCCTCCTGCTCCTCGGAGGCCTCGTGACCAGAGTCCTCCATGCAGGACGACTCGGTTTCGCTGATTAGATTGACCGCCTTGAAGCCGCTGGAGTGGGTCGTGAAGGCAGGAGGGAGAGTGAATAGCTTCTTGGCCCCGCCAGACTTCAGACGGGCGCGGACATCACCCAGGGCGGTTGAGGGGGCATTGGCACGGGCATGGGCATGGGGGGTGGTGCTCTGCTTCAGCCCGGAGATCTTCCTCGTCTTCGGGGTCGGGGTTGCGGTCGCGGTCACGGCGCTAGGGGGAGCTCTCCGCTTTGAAGCCGAGCCTGATCGACGACTACCGCGACGAGCGAACCTACCCGATGGTGCGGATCTGAGGCTGGGAGAGGGCTCTTGAGTATCGTCGGTGGAAGATTCGTCGTCGCTTGGGAAGCTGCGCTTGCTGCTGGAGAGGGGCGTGCCCTTGCCTTTCTCGGCGGAGACGGAGGTGGGTGGTGGGAGGCCGATGGGATACTGCAAGGCTGCGATGGCGAGCATGCGGGCGTGGTGTTGATGGAGGGCCTTTCGGACTTGGGCTGGGTCGAGGTTGTGGGTATGTTTGAGGATGGAGGTGAAGCTGATCTCCTGCGTTTGGAGGGTGTCGGTGATGAGGTCCATTGCGCTCTAGAAGTAATGAGGGTTAGCTTGAATATGCAAATCAGAGAGCCGCTGTTTACTTACGAGCACTCCCTCAAGTGCAAAGTGGTGAGGTGCTTGATCTTGAGGTTGTTAAGATGGTTGTGGTTGTGGTTGTTGTCATTGTTGTTGTTGTTTGACTTGTTTTGATTGAAGCGAAGGTTAGGTAGCCAGATCCATCTTGAATTGCGGCACTAAGAAAACCTAAATTCATCAACAATCAGGCTACAGCGTGAGGTTGGGGGTGGGTGGGTTCGAGTGAATAGCATTTGAATAAAGATCAGCTTTCAAGGCATCTATGACTTTGAAGTGTTTGGGGGCTGTTTTCTGCCTGTAGCTTGGAGTTTCTTTGGCTACAACCTCCCATGCCTTAAAGTAGTTTTTGGATGTTTCAGAATAATGGTCTTCGAATGGAATAAGCTGTAATACAGTGGTATTCTCATAGAGTTACATGGTCTTCAGCATAGATCGATTACTCGGGAGTCATTTGTTTATTTCCCTACCCGCTATCCTTGGTCTCTCTTCAGAACTTCACAATAGCTTTAACTGTGAGCCCTAGGAAAATTTGAGCTTGGATTACCCCCTCTGACAGCTGGCTATGTCTTCAGCAGGCCATTTCAGCAAAAGACCTGCCAAGCGACCCCAGCGAATAAGCCTGCTGGGACACTGTCATCAACAAATGAAAGCTCAAAGGCGCCTGCCAGCCAACTAATATATCTTCTATTTCCCCCTCTCTCCAAAGTATCGAATTTGGAGATGAATACAACAATATAATCTTCAATATTGCGATTTGAATGTGACACAAGCCATCTTTATAACATTGAATGCCTGCGCTTTATGGATCTTGTGGCGATACCTGGTATAGTTTCCTCTCAGCTCCTCCGTAAAATGCTCTCATGATTACCAAGTGGTATTTCCGGTGACTGAGTCTTGCATTCTGACACATTATCAGTTTAAATCTTGAGCACCGGAACTAAGTAGTAGTGGTGGTATTGACTTACGTCGGGCGGGTGGCAGGCTTTGCCTGCCCCCCCTGGGACCTCCCATGGGGTACGGCGACTTGCTAAGTGCAGGTCTTCCATACAAAGTACTACCTAATAGAGGGTAGAAACCACGAAGGGTTAAAAGCTCTCTTGTAGATAATCTCGGGTTTCTGATCCCGCGATATCGCAATCCTTATACAGCCCTTGAAAGCATACCAAGTTGGTCTGTCGACTGTGCCTTTCCCTTACAGATAGGATGGATCGCTGCAAAGAGAACTCTTATATCGAAGGTAAAACCAGGAAAACAAGTTACAGCGTAAGGCATATCGGTGTCGATTATCGAGATCATTCGAGGCCAGACTAGAGGTCAGCCAGGTAATTTAAGGCTGCGAAAGGCTAGATGTGCATAGGAGCGGCTCTTCGAAGGCGCAATATCGTAGATCGTTCTGAACCCTTTCACACCACTCACACCCGTTCCTCCTTCTATGTAAGTCCCCCTGGTATCATCTCGGTCGGTATACCCGTCGGGTATAGGTCGTAATCGGCGTGGTGGTCGAGGTAGGAGGAGGGCTCGTTCGGAATCGCCGGTAAGGGAAAATCTCTTCGAAGAAGACGCATGACGATGGATTCAGTTTCGGCCCTCCAGGCAATATAGAATTGGCTATGAGGCTGAAGGCTCGTAGGGGCAACCTCGTACAGGTAAAGAATCGTAGCCCCCCAGCACCTAAACTAAGAGCATACAGAATCCATGGGCTGGGTAATATTTTCGTTGCGGGAAACTTTTACGTATTGAATTTGTAGAATACTCTGGACTTGATCGTTTGGGACTTCCCTAGGGGCTAATTGGGGTAATTGTTGCACGTCATTGTCGAGGTCGAAAGTGTCCTGATGATGAGATGGACTAAATCCTTCCTCGAAATCAATACTCATGAGTAGTCATCATCGAAGAGAATTAGGAGATCGGTTAACAATGAATAATCTCGGAATTTTAGACACACTCTCTCAAAGACAAAAAGATTTATGAGCGCTTGGTAAACTGTGAACAGGGAAGCGCAGCATTACAGGATATAGATACAGTTGCATCAAGTTTTCAGGAAAAAATTATGGTACACGAAAAGATTTAGCATTTGCGCTCTATCTACGCCATGTTCAAAGTTGTTTCCCTAGTCTCTTCGCTTTCTTTGTGTTTTCCATCTAGCGATCGTCTCGCTTAAGAAGAGAGATGATCAAGAGCCGAGAAAATAAGATGATCAAGAGCCGAGAAAAATAAGATGCCAATTTCACCAAATTGAGAGATTGAGTTCAAGATCACCCGCGGTGATAACTCGACAAACATGATCCACTCGAAGGGGTGAAAGAGCCTAGCAATAGCGGATTTGATAAGTATAAGTGCGGGTTACTTTACAGTTTATAATATCTCACGGATGGAAAGACGAAATATCCAGTAAGCAGTTACGAGACCCGCGTTGAATTTAAACTCGATATATTCATATATATTCCTTCTCCTGCAGTACCTGTTATAACTGTATAGGATTTTGATCATACCATCTGCTATCGAGGATACATGGTAAGCGTACCTATATTTCGTGCTACGTAGTACCATTTAAGCGAGTTCTGTGATATTCCGACCCGTTGTTTTGTGTCTCTTTGAGCAAGCCATAATCTGTCTCTACTTTCCGTCCGCGTTCGGGCGTATAACCACTATATCATTCGCTATATATACGCTCTTATTTGTTGCATTCAGGATCAGTGGCAAAGTCAACTGCATGGTGTCCCGTTAACATTTTTATATTTGTGCTTCGCTCCGTTGTCATAGAGGAATTGGACGGCTTTAATATATCCATGTATAGCAGCTTCCATTAATGCGTCATGCTAGAGGGGTTCTTCTGCTCAATAGAGACTCTATTCTGCTTCAACTAATTGCCAGCATCAAATCTTGATCTTTAGCTGAGGCAAGAAGGATCTCGTTGTTGCTTTCCTTTTTAACGTCACTTGCAAACAAATGTTCAAGATATCTGCGGAACCGAGTCTCGGATATGTTAATTCTCTAAGTAATGTCACATCGTCGACACATGTTGGCTGCCTATCAATTTGCTCCGAGCCGAACAAAGTCATATTCTTTAGAGAGTCTGCGATTAGGAGTTCATGTTTGAGCCACATTTTAATGTTTTGATTTGACCACCCCGAGTTTCTATATTTGTCGAGTAGACGCCGTTGTTGACACCCTAGAGAATGAAGATTATAGCCGCACTCTATCAAACTGGATCCAAGAATGCACGCCACGGCTTCTGTAGAAGTATCCATTCTCGCCCGATTTGAAGTCGCGCAAGGAGCTATTAATTTCACAATCATTGAATATTCGTAGAATTTTGGGTAAGGTTATATCTACCGGAAGGGTCAAGAGACACCCGGGTTGTCTCTTTCCTGTAGTCGCCCAGTTGGGAAATGTTAGAGTTCCAGGTACAGGAAGTCTTGTTGTGATACGTCTCTTTGTTATTCATACGATCTGTTCTACTCGGGATGCATAATTACGTTGTGTGCTATTGTTTAGCTGTGCTTTTCACTAACATCCAATGGCTGGCCCTTCGCAAGGATCTTCTCCTTCTCTCGTTTCGTATCCGCTATACTCTTTCTCCATGCGCCCATATTGAAACCTACAGGAGCCCGTAATGAATCGAGCCCCATACCGATACGTGCAGATATGTTATCTCCAAATCACTAAATGAGAGACACACCTACCGAGTAATTTTCTCGTTGGACACATATATATTTCTCCTATTCGGACTTGAGCCTAGAAACAAGACATTTTTTCCAGGTCTAGTTCTCGGCGGGATAGACCACAATCCGATCCAGATCTGCGCCCTTGAAATCGAATCCATTCGACAGACCCCTCACCGTGATCGTATTACTCGTTCCCTTTTCAAGCATAAGCTGCAGCGGCGTGGACCCAATTATTCCTTTGTGAGTGTCACGCTGATACAGCGTGTGCACCGTTGAGATGTCGCCGTTGACTACCACGCTGGAGATACGACGTAGCTGCCAGGCGCCTCCGATGCGGTCGGGAGATCCGCCAGCTGAAAGAAACGTCATTGGCAATCAGGTGAAGAGGAGGAGATTAGGGGGGGGGGGGGGGCTTACGTTGGTCTCCGAATCCCATATCGTCCGTGTCTGGCCGTGCGTTATTAGATAAATTAGGAATCGGAGCGGATGGAAGAAAGGAAGAAAGCGTACTCTGATAGTAGAATGAGACCCATTGAGGCTTTCCGGATCCCTCGATGCCCTCAAAAGTGACGCTGCTGTCGTTGCCGTAAATACCTGTCAAGATAACCCCGCCACTCGCGAAGTTCTACTCTGTTGTCAGCTTGCTATGGGTGAGATTTGATCGCGTGCCTTACAGCTTCTTGCTTGAACGCATTCCCGCTGACCTGTGCGTTCTTTCCGTAGTATGTCTTGCCTTGAATAGGCCTCCATTCTCCGGTCTTGCTACGAGATGGAAGTCAGCCGCGTAGCCAACCAGGTGGAAATTACGAGAAAGTACACGTTCAGGTCGTAGACGTCGTGCCAGAGGACTTGTAGAGTCTTTTTTCGGTCGTCGATTTCCATTGGTAGCCAGATATACCGGCTTTCCCAGAGCGAGTTGGAGTCCCACTGTACGGGTCAGTTACCGGAGACGGGGAGCGGGAATATCAGTTTAGCATGCCTGATCTCCGAGGTACAGGTAAGTCGTCTTCTTCGTGCCTGCAATTCTCAAACTGAAGCCTGACTGCGAACTAAAAGTACGTGTGTTCAGCGGAGAAACGATGAAGGGCTGTGACCAAGGCCCAGCCAGCGAGTCCGCGCGGAAGGCAACGACATCTTCCATAAGGTCAGTATGGACCTTAGAGTCGGACTCGAATACATACTGTTTGGCCGATACCCAGTTTTATGGCTCATTAAAGCATAGTAACTTTGATCCGTTTGAATGATCGTGGGCGCCTCCAAGTCAAACTTGTCGAATCTATGAATGACTTCGTCGAGACCAGTGAGATCTTTGTTGAAACTCGTTATGTAGACATCGCGACCCTCTTTCCTATCGCCATTTGAGTAAAGAGAGTAAGATCTGCCGTCTTTGTAATCTGTAAATATACCAAAGTCCTGGGACCAGTTTCCGAGTGGCGCTGTTGCGTTCACGAAGCTGTAGGGGCCGCCAATGGTCTTGGACACTGCTAGACCTTGGAGTAAGAGGCTATATTTGGAGTCGTCCGCATGCCACCACATCTTTATAGCATTAGTCTTGAGCCTTTGAATGTAAAGCGGGGTAAAAACTTTGGCATACATGGTATTGATCCAAAGGCTCACTGTAAACAACCTTGGGTCTCTGGATAATACTGCTTGGAGCAATATACGGATGTCCTTCAATGGGCTCTAGAAGCAATTTGATTAGCACCAATATAGAAATAGTTAGAGGTAAACCACATCAGCTTACCGAGTGCCATGCCATGATGTGTCCATGTCGCTAAATCACTCGAGCTGTAAACAGAGACACCACCACCTTCTTCCTGGCCTTGAACTTTGTACTCGCCGAACCACCAGAAGGTCCCATTCTTGTCAACTATGACACCACCAGCGTGGGCGTTAACGAGTTCTCCCTTCGTATCCCTCCATCTTGCGCCCGGAACAATATATTTAGCACATACAGATGCGCTCAGCGAAAGACATGACAGAAGTAGAGAAGGGAGCATTGTGGGAGACTTGTGCAAAAGAGAGGTTGCAGAATCACGAAAGACAGGAGGCGAAGTACAAAATTTTACTTATATTTATAACATCTCGGATGCATGGTATCATGCTATCACCGGTTGCATTTACACCGAGCGCATATCCAAAAGACTAATATGCGGGGAGGACGCGGGGTTGATGAGGATAATTCAAGACATCCGCGAATTCTATTTTCCGTGATCAACAAGTGTTGAAAACGTGGAGTTACTTTGCAGCTGAAATCGACGACAGATTGGCAAGGGCCAAATCACGACTGCTTGGCTCCCTTTTGAAAAGAGTCAATAGATATAATAGATGAGACCAGTTATTGATTGCAATGCCTTAACATACCTACATCAACCGGCCGCAATCTCCTCGGCTTCCTCTTCCCACTCGCCTTGCTCCTCCATGTCCTCGTTGAGCTCCATCTCACCGTCTGCCGCAAGACCTTCAGAATCCCACTCAGCATCAGCCATGTCATCATCCTCCTCATCCTCATCTCCCTCCGTTTTCTTTGCACCTAGGCCCTTGGCTGCTTTCTTTCTCTCCACATTCTCCTTCTGAATCTTTTTCCTTGCCTCTTTCTGTTGCCTCTTCTTCTCCCACTTCTTGTCCAAAGCCTTGACCTCCTCCTTAGACTTGTTGATGTATTCGTGCCACATGATCTTGCCACTGCAGACACCCTCTTCCACTTTGGTCATGCGCAGCTTCAATCTAGGGCCCAGCTCTACCATTTTTACTGCCCGCTTCTCAGCGCCACCTCGGGAGGGTTCTTTCTTATCAGCGTCAGAACGCTCTTTGCGACGTTTTGACAAGATCTTCTTGGCTCGTGTCTCGACAACCTCGACCTCAGCGTCAGTATCGACTTCGCTTCCGCTCGTAGCTCCGTCGGTTACGTATCCTTCACCGCCATCACCACCGATCATGTAGTCTGCGATATCAGACATTTTTCCGAGGTTTGGCAGACCACCCTTCTTCGTCCTGCCTGATTTTTGAGCGTTTATGATCTTTTCGGCAGCATTTAGTCTGCGTAGAGGTTTTGAGAGACCCAAGGGCTTCGTCGTAATGGCATAGTGTCGAAGATTTATGGTATATGTTCCGTCTCCGTCTTTGGAAGGCTCGCGGTTCAGAAGGAGGACTCGTCGAATTGAAGAAAGTGGTGTTTTTTGCGGTGAGATGGGAGGGAAGAGCGATTGGAAGATGGTCGTAACAAGAGATTCGAGATGTCTAGGTACTTTGTTGGGCGAATCTGATTCAGATGCGGGAGATGTAAAGTTGTTCATGACAAGCTATTAATCCGATTAGTTATGCGCCTCAAGATGACGATATACGTAGACATACCAATGGCGCGGTCAAGTATTCCTTTCCACTACCTTTTGGATGCTTCAAGGCTTTTCGGATGTCTTTACATAATGAATATTTCTCAACATTGAAATGTAAGGTAGGTCCTCTCGGTGTGATCGCCAGGCGCATATTTGTATTTCCAGATTCTGACCTCGAGAACAGCATAAGATGGCTTACACCCAGCGGTCCCGCCATGGTAAGGTAATCTCTCAATCGGTTCGCCCTCCTCTCTTTCAACCTCGATGCCGTTCCGGGTTCCATCATCAATCGTACATCCTTTGCCAGCTGGCTCACACTAGGTCCGACTTCTCCAGCTCCAATTCGAATGACCATACTCTTGGGCGCCGCAGAGGGTTTCTTTGCAAATCCCGCTCCTCCCGGTCCATTATTTGCGCCCACATGGGTACGTTTCTTTGTTCGTCTTTTCGCCATTGTGATGTTGTATATGCGTGAATAGAGGAGTTGGAGAATCTGGAGAGAATAATTTTGGTGGAGCGGGAAGAATTATTTTTTGCGCTACGCTAGAGTAGCCCGAGTTACGATAAGCGATAAGAAATTATTGCCCCAACGGCAAACTTTTCTACTCTCTGCTTGCTCTGCACAGCTCATTCACGTTATCACGATGTCTTCGGTCAAGAGAAGAAAACTCGATGAGAGTGTGCCTTCGGGCCTGCTGCGGGAGAAGAAGAAGAACAAGAAGGCAAAGACGCCGAAGGAGGTGACGGCAGAGCCTGTGGATGCTTCTGCGACCCCAGAGTCGACACCCATTGCCACGAAAGTACCAGAGGAGACGGTGACAGTTGGAGGGGAGGAAGCACAGACAGAGGTTCCAACGAGCTTCAAGGACCTTGTATGTACTGCTCTTGCGGTTTGTCGAATCAAACTCACAAGATCCAGGGTATTGTCGACGAGCTATGCGACGCCTGCACAGCGCTGGGATATAAAGCGCCGACCCCAATTCAAGCCGAGTCGATACCTTTGGCCCTGCAAGACCGAGATTTGATTGCCCTCGCCGAAACTGGAAGTGGAAAGACGGCAGCTTTTGCATTACCGATCCTTCAGTCGCTCCTCGATAAACCACAGCCTTTCTTCGGACTTGTCCTCGCACCTACCCGTGAACTGGCATACCAAATATCTCAGTCCTTCGAGGCGCTCGGATCCAAAATCGGAGTAAGATGCGCCGTTATCGTAGGAGGTATGGATATGGTTCCGCAAGCCATTGCACTCGGCAAGAAACCTCACATCATTGTGGCATCACCTGGACGATTGCTAGATCATCTCGAGAATACCAAAGGATTCTCACTACGAGCCCTCAAATATCTGGTAATGGACGAAGCCGATAGACTACTAGACCTGGACTTTGGAGCAATTATAGACAAAATCCTCAAAGTCATCCCTCGGGAGCGCCGAACCTACCTTTTCTCCGCGACCATGAGCTCGAAAGTCGAAAGCCTGCAAAGAGCCAGTTTAAAAGATCCCCTCCGAGTCAGCGTCAGTACCAAATACCAAACCGTTTCGACCTTGATCCAAAATTGCCTTATAGTACCCCTTGTCCACAAGGATGTGTACCTAGTCTACCTTATGAACGAGTTCGCCGGCCAGTCAGCAATTATCTTCACGCGAACCGTAAATGAAACGCAGCGACTGGCAATCTTGCTACGGTCACTGGGTTTTGGGGCAATTCCCCTCCACGGACAGCTCTCCCAGACCGCTCGTCTTGGTGCGCTGAACAAATTCCGTGCAGGAACGAGAAAGATCCTCGTCGCAACCGACGTCGCAGCCCGTGGTCTAGATATCCCGTCCGTCGACATCGTCCTCAACTACGACCTACCACCGGAAAGCAAGACTTACATTCATCGGGTGGGACGCACAGCAAGAGCTGGAAAGTCAGGACACGCATTCAGTATTGTGACGCAGTACGACGTTGAGATTTTCACGCGTACGGAAGCTGCACTGAAGATACGGATGCCTGTGTATGAGCCTGTGAAGGAGGAGGTTATGGTGTTCAAGGCGCGGGTAGAGGAGGCGCAGAGACATGCGAGGAACGAGATGAAGAATCTGCATGAAGACAGAGGAAACAAGGGGTCAATCCTCAAGGGGAGAAGACCGAAGACTGGCGGTAATAAGAGGGGACGAGACGATATGGATAGGGAGGAGGGTTGAGTGTTCTGGGTTACAATATTAAAAATTCCCGAGGAAAGTTGCCTTAACTTCTTAGTACGATTTTGCCCGTAAAAGTGCTATTCTATGTTTTGCTTGCATCTGCTTGACTTTCTTTAATTGTTTTATATAGTGCTTAAAAAGGCGCTTTAGTTTCCGACCCAAATCCCTAACACCAGCAGCTTTGACGCAAGTCCAGCTGGCCAAGGAGGATCTCAGCTTTTGATCGGGCGACCAAAACTTTTCCTGTATCCTTATTCCATCCATTTACCGACTCTTATCATCCTCTTAAATTGCAAGCCTCTTCCTGATTTTCCTTAAAGCGACAGCTTGCTTCCTCCTACGTCGTCGAGGCAAAGCTCGCACGCAGTCCGACTCTGCTGTCTAAACAAAAGAATGGGCGGGTGACTGGCCAGTACGTACGGATGTTTAGCCAAACAAAATAGGCAGATCGGATCCACGCCCTCCGGCTGCCTTTTCATGTTTCACCTAAATAAGATTTAGAAATGGATATATGGGAAGCAAGAGCGGACGCCGATGATGATGATGATGACGATAGAATGATAGATGAAGAGGTAACTCTAGAGATGATTGTTTCACGGAAATTGGATCTGGTTTTCTGGCTTGAGAGTTCGGTGAGAGTACTTCGTATCACTTGGGGATTTCCGGCTGTAGATCATGCAAAGATAGGTAGGGCTGCAGGTTGGTTCTCCTGCGGACTTATCACATGTCTGTCGATGTTCACCAGACCTGCTTCCCTTTTTTAGGGGAGTGAGTAAGCGAGCACGCTACTGCCCTCCACATCAATCAGTGCGTCTACCGGTACCTCGGCGGTCTGGGGAAATCCGCAAACGCGTCATAGACATTGCTGTATAAGTAGTAAGTATAGCTTTCGGAGGTCAACATTCAGATTATAAACCCCCTACCAGACCCGAAACCCCCCTCTTGAAGACTGAGCTGTCTTATAATATTTGCACCTAGCAAACCAAACATCACATCGTCATCTGACATCCGTAGACGACACCTACCACCAACTAAATTCCACAGAAGCCACCCCCATCATTCGTCTCTCTCCGACTCGTAAAATCTAGCCGCAATTTCAATTTCAGTTTCAATTCACGATCGAGAATCATGTCTCCAGTAAATAAACACCCTCCCAGGCGGGAAAGACTTATATATACTTCGCATCTTTTCACAACCGCTAACTAACTACCTACCTACCAACCTGAAAGTCCAAACCCACTCTACGCGAACTTGCCATGGAAACCAACGCAACAAACCCCTCCCAGCTCGGCGACCCGGTCTCCCTCAAAGCAGAGACGTCCTCGACGTCACCAACCGCGTCCGACAGAGGCTCTGCTGCGTCGTCCCCATCTTCAGCCGGCGCTGCGATCCAGAATATCAAGAAGGTTGCGCCGACGCCGACGGAAGGAGATGGGCCGAAGCGAGGAGGCGGAAGCGGGAGTGGGAATGGGAATGGAGAGAAGACGTTGAGGCAGCGAGCGATGAATAAGTTGGAGGAGAACCCGAGTCAGCTGGGGGATCCGGTGAGCTTGAAGGCTGAAACGGCGGATAGCGAGCCGACGAGCGAGGATAGGGGTGCGAGGAGTGGGAAGTCGAAGCTGTGAGTTGGGAGTTGGGAGATGGGAACAGACGGGTTAGTACAGGAGGGGTGTGGCGATGAGAGATGTGCAGAGCGGCATCGATGGGGATTGAGTGGTAGCATCGAGGAGACGCCCCAGAGCGTTGCGGCCCTGCGCGTTTGGCCCGGTGCATCCATATAAGTACAGTAATTTCAACCTTTTCCTTTGCCCGCAGGGACCACTTTTGGTATCTTACAATATCAACACATGGTTTCCACCAGTCTATTCCAGCAGACCGATATCACAGCTGCGCGAGCAGTGACTCAACGTACACCTTCAGCTCACCGATGGGGACTTTCTCCTTAACGTCCAATCTGCGGCACTGAACCTCTAACTTGCCCTCGGCCAGCCAAGCTCTGCCAACGATAACGATCACCGGGTACCCGATCAGGTCTGCATCGCCCATCTTGAGACCCATACTCTTGTCGCGATCGTCGAGAACGAGGTCTAGCGAGGAACCTAAGGCCAGAGTATCGTAGACCTCCAACGCAGAGCTATCATTGCGTGTGTTGCTTGGTACGATCAGTACCTCGAAAGGTGCCATAGCTCGCGGCCAGTTTAGACCTTTGTCGTCTGCGAGTGTGTCAGCCACTGCGCCGATGATGCGAGAGACGCCAATGCCGTGGCAGCCCATCTGCATTGGTACTTGACGAGCTGTTTGTTTTCTGCCTTTGCTTGGGTTGGTGTGGTTGTCTTCATCTTTTGCGAATTCGTCGGCGCTGATTGGCTTCTCGACGGGGGCAACGATCGTAGCTTCCAGTGGCTTGCTGTATCGTGTTCCAAGATGGAAAGTGTGGCCTAGTTCGATTGCTTTCTGGACTTTGAGAGAGCCATCGGTACACCGTGGGCATGGATCTCCCTCCTGAATACGGAGAAGATTGAGTGGTTGTTGTGTCGTCGGGTTTACCTGGAAGAATTCCATTGGTATTTTTTTTAAAGGCTCTTCCAATTCCACTGGTATATCCTTCGAAGGCCCTTCCGTATCGGGTAGGAGATCCGGGGGTAGGATTTGAAACCGGCAAAGCCCTTGCTCGTTACTCGCTTTGATGAATTCTTGGACTTCGGAAGGTAGCCTGCAATCGATCAGGTTCACGAGCCGTTGTGGCGGCGGCAACGTCGGGTCTTCTGATTCAGATGGCAGCAAGTAGCGCTTCCACAGCTTCATTGGATCCTCTATAGATGCATCTATGTCTGGTAATATTGCTCTTATAGCATGGGTATTGACCTCAGATCCATCCGTAGGAGGGTCCTCCCATGAGCTCGGTGATTTATACCAAACAACGATGAGAGTGCGCCTGTCTCGAGATATACCACGCCATGTACGAATATCCATAATAGTGGTGGCGTCTTCTGTCAGTATATTCTTCCGGGAATAAATGATGTTGATAAGACCAGGCCTATTCTGAGGTACCTGGCGCCGCGTCCGCAAATCTAGTAACTTAAAGTCGGAGGTTTCCTGACTTGGCTTAATTCGCTTGGATACCGGGCTTTCTGCGAGCTCTTCATTGGCAACATACTTGCATGCAGAGCAACTGATGACGTTATCCTCACCCTTTGAAGTTGGAAAATGGAATTCGTGACTCAGGTCTCCACCTATATCGCCAGAGTCGGCCTCAGCGACCAAGTAGTGCAATTTGAGTTCGTCAAACAGGCGAGTGTATATTTCTCGAACCTCGTGATATGTTTCTAAAGCTCGCGACGAATTATAATCGAACGTGTAGAGGTCCTTCATTATGAATTCCCTAGCACGTAGAAGCCCATGCCTCGGTCTTAGCTCGTCCCGATATTTGCGCGCTTGATGGTGTTAGACTACGACTGTACGCTGGTGAAGAAGACTCACATGTTTGATAGAGACGGACAGGAAGTTGCTCGTACGACAACACCAAGCTTGATACCAAAGTAGTTATCTCCTCTTCGTGGGTTGGGGAAAGGAGATACTTGGTATTCTTCCTGTCGGAGAAGTGAAAGAGCTGTGGTAAATTAGATAGGGCCTCTTGATCGGGGTAGGGATGGACTCACTTCGGAGCCGGCTTTCTCCAAGCGCCCGCTCTTTGTCCACAGTTCTTCGGATGATATCGAGGACAATGCTAGCTTCGAAGCGCCTGTTTTGTCATGTTAGTCCAGTAAACAAGATTAGTCTGGCGGTACTTACCCAGCTTGAACATGTACTTGTCGACAAGAGCTTCCAATTTGTCTTGCACTCTTCGTCCCAGAGGTAGCATATGGAAGATACCTGGATGGGCCTTGAAAGTTAGAGCCAGTATTAGTCATTGCTTCAACATGGCGTACCTGACGAATGAACCCTGCTCGGATGAGCTTTGCGTGAGAGTCTGAATGCAGCATCAACAGAATATCCCACCAACAAAATCAAGTGATAGCCGACCCTCATCTTCTTTCGGTGCGATCCCTCCGGTTGGTGTCCATATTCTTGATAATCTCGCCCGGCCATCAACCTTCGATTTGGTTAGACAAAATGTAAAGACACGTGACAATGCAGGAGGAGACTTGCCGTTGCCTCATACGAAGGTACACTCCCCATGTGTCTTGTAAACCGAAAAGAAGGTTGAAGCCTGAGACGATTGACTGTGTGGGGGCTCGATAATAATGAAGGGAGCTCCCCACAGAGAAGTGCCCGTCGAGAAGGGGTGTTGGAAGCCATCTGGGCGAAGCAGAAACTTCGGGCAAAACGGAAGAACGCGAACTCCGATTCCTCCCAAAAAAAATCAAAAGGTCCAATCAATGAGCGCCAGTGCCGATAACCCCTCAGTCACAAACATTGTTGATTGTCCACGATAGTTAGAGCGGACTGTATGGAGGACTCCGTTACGATACCGGCAGCGTGATCATGGGTTGTCGTTCATTTTAGCTCGCCTCGCTTACGATAAGATAGAGCAGAGAGAGAAAAAAAATCCGGAATCCATCTGCCACCCATCCCTCATCCCAACCCCAATCCCACCAATTCAACTACTACAAGACCATATTGCGCCACCCGCGCAATTGATCATGGCTCGGAAGAACAAAAAAGCTGCCGGCGGAGGAGCCGATGCCACGTCTTCGAAGAGAGATACCCATACCCTTGCGTCCTTTGACGAGCAAGCTCTGTCTGCTTTGACGGAGAAAATCGAGAAGGAATTTGGGAAGACCAAGGCCATGACCACGTCGAAGAAGGTGCAGCATAATACTCCGAATCTTCACCGGGAGGACGAGGAGCCAGGCCAGAATTCGAAGGCGGAAGGGAAGGACAGGGGTCCGAAAGGAAAAGGAAAAGAGAAAGGAAAGGCGCCAGAGCTTTCCCGAGGAACGAAGAGGGATGCGCACGGAAATGCAAAGGTTGGAGGCAAAGCAGCAGCAGCCAAGAGCCAGAAGGGAAAGCAGTCAGCAAAGGAACAGAACGGCGACGGCAAGGACGCCAGAGCTGTGCTGTTGGAAGAAATACTTGCCCTGGGTGGTACTGAAGAGGACTTGGATTTGGTGGGCGATGCCGCGTCTGATGACGAGGAGGATGGTGTCAGCACTGCGAACCCTCCTGATACATCGTTCCAGAAGGACTTTGCCAAGTTTGTAGCTGGGCTTGGGATAGAAGGGACAGTGGCAGAGGACGATGCGGAGTCCGAAGCTGAGGAGCTGGCTGAAGACGACGAGTGGGAAGAGGCTCCTGATTTGGTCGAGGAGGAATCTGAAGATGAGGCAGTTGTCGAAGCACCTGTAAAAAAGGCGAAATTGTCCATCCCGGAGTCTCAGACATCAAGTAATCCCAACCGTCTTGTTAGTATTGTTCCCGCACGAACTGCTGGTCTGACTGACTCTCCATAGATATTCGAGGCACGTCCTGACTGGCACGCTGCGCCATTGCCAGACCTTCCGAGGCCGGATGTAGACAGCTCCTCACGATACCAGAGTGCCATTACGAATCTCAAGGACTACGCGAAAACGCTCCTGGAAGCCGACACCGATCTATACGCCTCGAAACATCTTTCCTCGTCATCCTCGCACCGCTTTCTGTCGACGATCATGACATCTGGTACTTTAGCTGATAAAGTCTCTGCCTTGACGTTGGTTGTACAAGAATCTCCAGTCCACACGACCAAGTCTTTCGAGAGTCTGTTGGCACTGGCCAAGAAGAAGAGCCGAGGACAGGCTGTCACTGCACTGGGTGCCTTGAAAGATTTACTTGGTACGGGCGTTGTGCTGCCAGCTAATAGACGTCTTCGAGCTTTCTCCTCACAGCCGGGCCTCGTGGGCACCCTTCAGGAACACGACGTTTCTCACTGGACATCCAACGACAAACTTCCAGGCGACATAACAAAAGCACATCTAATCTCCTGGGCGTACGAGGAATGGTTGAAAGACATTTACTTCGAAATGCTCAAGGTGCTGGAAAACTGGTGTGGCGACGAGGTTGTGTTTGCGCGACTTCAAGCTGTGATGTATACGTACGAGCTTTTGAAGGAGAAGCCCGAGCAGGAGCAGAACTTGCTCCGACTACTGGTCAACAAATTGGGTGACCCGGAAAAGAAAATTGCTTCACGGACTTCGTATTTACTACTTCAGCTGCAAGTATCTCACCCATTAATGAAGCCAATAATTGTTCGCTCGATAGAGAGCGAGCTTATTCTGCGCCCAGGACAGAGCTCCCATGCAAAGTACTATGCTATCAATACGTTGAATCAGACAATTCTAAGCAGCAAAGAGGAAGAAGTTGCCAAGAAGCTTTTAAGCATCTATTTTGAGCTGTTTGTAGCACTTCTGAAAAAGCCAGAACCGAAGCAGGTGGTTGGGCCTCCGATCAATCGAAAGGGTCAAGTGCAAGGAGGAGGTGCTCCCAAGGGACGAAAGGCGGTCGCTAAGGCTAAAAAAGAGGACGAGGCTAAGCTGACGAGCGATGAGGTGACCGAGAAGATGATCTCGGCTGTTTTGGCAGGTGTTAACCGTGCATTTCCGTTCTCGAAGTCAGACGATACGACGTAAGCTTTTCTTTTGGGATTTGAAGATATATACTAACTATTTGCTTTAACAGTCTCGAGAAGCACATGGATACGCTGTTCAGAATTACCCATTCCTCCAATTTCAACACGAGTATCCAGGCACTGATGCTCATCGAGCAACTTTCCACCTCAAAGCACCTCGCAGTCGACAGATTCTACCGAACTCTCTACGAATCCCTCCTCGATCCGCGTCTAATCGCCTCCTCTAAACATACCCTCTACCTCAATCTTCTCTTCCGCGCCCTACGCGCAGATCTGAACGTCAAGCGCGTCAAGGCCTTCATCAAACGTATGCTCCAAATCGTCACTCTTCACCAACCCCCCTTCATATGCGGTGTCCTCTACCTAATCCGCGAACTCGAATCCACCTTCCCCTCCTTGAAATCCCTGCTCAATGACCCCGAAGCCGACGACGAAGCCGACGAGGAAGTTTTCCGCGACGTGCCTGAAGACGGCGTTTCTGCCGATCTGCCGACTCCCAACACGGCTCGAACAGACCTTTACGATGGCCGCAAGCGAGACCCGGAACACAGCAACGCTGAAAAAAGCTGCTTGTGGGAAATCGTCCCTTTCTTGCACCACTTTCATCCCTCCGTCTCTCTGTTTGCCGACCGCTTACTGAAAGACGAGAAAATGCCGCCTAAGCCGGATCTTACCTCGCACACACTGTCCAATTTTCTCGATCGCTTCGTGTACCGCAATGCCAAGGCCCTTAGGAATAAGGACGGCGAAATCAAGGTCAAATCTAAAGGCAGTTCCATCATGCAGCCGCTCTCTGGTGGCGACAGCAAGGGAATACTGCTGTCCAGCCGGTCGGCGAATAACATTCAGCAGTCTGTCAACACGGAAGCATTCTGGAAAAAGAAGGTGGAAGACGTGGCCGTGGACGAAGTGTTCTTCCACAAGTACTTTTCTCAGATTGGGAAGGGCAGGCAAGCTAGTTCCATTAAGGGGAAGAAAGAGAGGAAGGCCGGTGCTGGCAGTGGCTCAGATGAGGAAGACGAGGCGGAGGAAGAGATCTGGCAAGCCCTCGTTGAATCCCGGCCTGAGGTCGAAGGCAGAGATAGCGAGGATGAGGATATGGAGATGCTGGATCTCAATGATTCGGACATGGCTTCTGGTTCCGACTCTGAAGTCGATGTTGAGAGCGACGCCGGGGTCGTGCTCGATGACTCCGAGGATGAGATGTCGCTTGATGGGGACGGGGACGCTGATTTGGATGTGGATGTTGAGGGCGAGGCAAGCGATGACGGGGATATGGACGAGTTGTTTGCGAAGGAAGCGCAAGGTGGGAAGGTACCGGCGGCAGACGGCAAGGAGAAGGCGGAGACGAGCAGACAGCGGAAGAAGAAGTTCAAGAGCCTGCCTACGTTTGCTAGCGCCGAGGACTACGCTGCGATGCTGGATAACGATGAGGGCGAAGATGAAGGGTTGTGAACGTAAAGTGCAGTGTCACAGGGGGTGGGGGGGCAGAGGGAGGGCAAGGCTTCTCTTGCTGGGTAAATTTTGTTCATCGGTGTCGTTCAATGTCTGAATTGACTTTTTTTTTTAATAAAAAGTTGCTTTCTCAGACTTAATTGCCAAATCCATTGCACTTACTTCCATGCCTCGCTCGCTCGCTCGCTTGCGAACAATCTCAGGGGGGGGGAATCGAAATCCTTTCAATCCAAAGCCTCCATCCCTTCTTTCCTTCCTTCCTTCCTTCCGTGCTCTCTCTCTCTCTCTCCATCACACCTGCTGCTCGTCTCCCATCCGACACCGGCCCGAAACGGCCGGAACGGAACGGAAGAAGGAAAAAAAAAAAAAAGGAACCCTCACGTGTCAAACCACTCCAGCTTGTCGTGCTGCGAGAAGATGGCGCGGTACACCTTGTCGCCATCCGGCTTCTCGGCCTCCTCGGTGTGGATGCAGTGCAGCTTTGCCGTGGTGGCCTCGGCGGGGATGAAGGCGCGGAACATGAAGTAGGCGTCCGTGCCCCTATTTTTTTGTTGTTCTTGGTGTCAGTATGATTTTTTTTGGCATTGGATTTGGGTTTTCTTCTTGTTGGTTTGTTTGGGTCTTCTAATAATTTTTTTTCTTTCCTTTTCTGCTTCTTCTGCTTCTTCTTCTTTCCCTTTGTTGCTTTTGCTTTGGGCTGCTTTTGCTTTTGCTGGGGATGGAAGGGGAGGGGTGGATAGGGAGGGGGAGAGGATGAGGGGGAGGGGGGACGCACTTCTCGGGATAGGCGTGCGAAAGGTCGCATTCTGGCAACAGGACTTTTCCGAAGAGGTGGAGGCCGTAGGCAGAGGTGGCGATGCGGACTTCCTTTAGATCATCCGCTATTATTATGGGTTTTCAGTCAGTCAGTCAGTCGGGATCTTCGATTTCTCGTATGCTCGTCTCGCCTACGCTGTCTGTATAGATAGATATCTCGTGGTGGCAGGTGGGTGGGTGGGAGAAGAGAGGGAGGGGAGGAGAGAGGGAAGGGAATGACGTACACGAGAAGGTGGTGAGCTGCTTGTCGGACATGTTCTTGACTGCTGCGAAGTACTCGGGCTCGTGCTTGGTCATCTCGTGGCGGAGGTGTTGCAGCTTGGTCTTGAGCTCGACTTCGATCTCGTTGAAGGCTGTGATGGATGCTTCCCTGGTCGCGCGTCGCTTGTTAGCAAATATCTCACCTCTCCTCGACTAGTACCTATGGTAGGTACGGTATAGATCAGGGGAAATGTACTTGGGAGGATGGGCCGCGCCCAGGGTGACAGTATCGACGGTTGCCATATTTGATTGTTGAGGTGGTGTTGGAGTTGTTGTTGTTGCTGCTAATGTTGGATGGAGGGGTTGTTGGCTTGGTCAAATGACGAAGTTGAAGTTTCTATGGTAGGTAACTCGCTTTAACTTTTAAAATTCACCAGGGATTGAATCTAAGTTTGAACTTCAGTTTGAGGATCGAGGTGGAATGACGTTTGAAAGGAAGAATTGGAATGATCAGGAGGGAGCTCCCGTTATGTATACATACTACTACAACTGTTTGTTGTCTCGGATCTGCGGATACCCACCATGACTCCGCGTTTGGAGTCTCATACAGTACCTGCCTATTGGATACTCTCCAGCCACAAGAGTTCGTAGTGCATCGGTTGGAGGAGTACGTATTCTCATGTTGGAGCATCTGATGGGAAGTGGTGTTGCGGTGATTCGTTGGTTGCTTGAAGAGTGGCGTGATGTCTCCTGGTTCGCGATAATCAACTCAATCTCCAGTTTGCCTTTCCTTCATCCAGTTTTCATAATAGACACAGAACCTCGCTCCCTCGAGTTCTTCGCAGTAATTATTATAAAATTGTCTGAAGCTCCATTTGCAAATGTCAAGAAGACCAGGAGCTTTTGAATATGCACCCCTGAATCCCGGCAAAGATCCGAGCATACATACTTGAGTGACGTCGCTGAGCTGGTATACAGTAAGAGAGGCAGAGCATCGAAGCAAGTCCGCTGGCGTTTTGGTCGATTTCACAGCTTTGCAATGACAGACGTCAAGCGGATATAAGTCAACAAACCATCTATCTGACCGTGGGGTGAGATAAGGGGCGAGCTGCTTAGCGAGAGGCCGAACTGGCCGAACGGAACATCGATAAGTAGAATCAGCGAGAAAATGTAACTTCCACCTTGACTTTGTTGTCCTTTCGTTTGGCTTTTGGCGGTTGGTTACTTATCACCTCTCGATTGCTCACTCTATCCAAGGATTCAACCTTTCCACCTCTTATCATTGACCCGCCCGTATCCATCGTCGTCCTGTTCTCGGAGAGTTTTTGCATCCAGCCTCGGTCCGCCTCTCAACTCGTTTTTCAAACTTCCTCCCGGCCCACGCCGCCCAATACGAGCACCTATCAGCATGGTGATTCTGTCACCGCCAATCTTCTAGATCAGATCCGATGTCCGTCGCTGGGAGGTGTTTAGTCGGGCCCAGAGCCTCCTTGCGAGTTGTTGGGCGGGCACCGTTCAATCTTGCGCGGGCACGTCCTCTGCCCTCTCAACGCTTCAGCACAAGCAATTGCCTGAGAACTGCTGAAGGTACGCCCCCGTACAATTGTAGTACACATTACAAGCACGCTCACTAATAGCAGACCTAGCTGCCACGCTCCCACCGACGCCCCGGAAGTCCCTTTTCAGACGTGGCCTCACCGTCGCAGGACTCTTCGTCGTCTTCACAACCGCCGGCTTCGTCATGGCCACAGCATCCACCGTAAGAGAGCTTGACGGCCTCATCCACCCCCCGACCGACGAGGAAACCCTCTCCATGTTCACACCTCCCGACGCTACCTCCCTCGAAGTCGAAGAATTTATCCGGAACCACCCCCTCGCCCTCGAACTGCGCACCAAACCCGAATTCTCCGAATCCCGCCCCCATCTCAAGATCCCCGAGCAGATGCGCGGCCACAGTCTCACCGGAGGCACCTTGATGGGGCCGGGTAAGGTCGTCGTGCCCCCTTTCGTGTGGAGCGAGAAGGGAGGGAAGAGCCTTGTTAGCATACAGTACCTTGGGGGCGATTTGTGCGGGCATCCGGGACTGGTGCATGGGGGCATGCTGGCGACGATGTTGGACGAGGGGCTGGCCAGGTGTTGTTTTGCAGCCTTGCCGAATAAGGTGGGCATGACGGCGAATCTGAATATCAATTACCGAGCCCCGGCAATGGCGGGTACATATGTGGTGCTCAGGGCGAAGACAACGAAGGTGGAGGGTAGGAAAGCGTGGGTCGAGGGGCACATTGAGACTTTACCTGCGGAAGGGGAGAAACCTGTTGTGCTTGTAGAGGCGAGCGCTTTGTTTATCGAGCCTCGACAAGCAGCGGTAAGTTAGGAAGTCATCCATAATTGAGCAGAGCTAACTCGAGAGCAGCAAATGGCCAGGGTGTATCCAGTGCAATAGACAGCCAGGAACACACCCGCGGACGATTGCTTTGAGATTCGGGCAGAGGGACAGGATCATGACCGTATATGTATAAGACTTGGGGAGAATACAGAGAACTCTTTAATTGAGAGTATAGAGGTGTGGATGGATCAACTAGACTTCATAGAAATGCTATCATGGCATAGGAGACCCAATTCCTCTCTGTAAAAGAGAATATCTAGCCGCCCGAGTCCCTGCTCGCAGCCAACCACCAAGCTGGCATCTTCGCTATCTCTTGGATTCCTCTACAACGCAACATTCACTGAACGACAAAGTCCTTGAGCTTCCCATCAAAGCCACGGGGAATGGGCATGCTTCACCTGCTTCACGTGATATAGCGGGGGTTCCTGAATCGGTCGGGTCGGCCTTTGAAAAGATTGTCTTGGAGGTCCATCTCCAAGGGACTGCCCGCCATTCAGCTTCCCACAGCACGGTTTGAAGCGAACACTGTGATCGAGTACTTGCAACTCCCATTTTCACCCCCTTCAACTACCAAACAGAACTTCGCAATGGCAACGTAAGCTCCCCTCTCCCATTCTCCCATTCTCTCGTTCTTCCTGCCTCACTCCCTCTCCCAAGTCTACCCCTCCATACCTACCCCGCCATCCTCCCACTCCCTCCTCAACATCACAACATCACAACCTCACGTCCCAAACAGCAACATAACATGGCACCCCTCCCTCTCCCGCTCCGAGCGCAACACCCTGCGCAAGCAGCGCGGCTACACGATCTGGTTCACGGGCCTGTCCGCCTCGGGAAAATCGACCGTTGCCACCGCCCTCGAGCAGCACCTCCTGCACCTCGGCCTGGCGGCATACCGACTGGATGGCGATAACGTGCGCTTCGGGCTGAACAAGGACTTGGGGTTCAGCGAGAAGGACCGCAACGAGAACATCCGGCGGATTGCCGAGGTGCGTTTCATTCATTCATTCATTCATTTATTCTCACATTCTCACATTCTCCCTTTTTTTTCCTTTCACTCTCTGCAGTGTAAATTCGGGATCGGGGTGAGGATGAGGATTTAAAGGCGGGATGTGAAAGGAAGGGAGGAGAGCCCACGTCAAAGAGAAGGGACAAAACCCCTTATCTACCGTACGGGTGCGGGTGGTGTGGACGGGGCTGACTAGAGAGCCGGCCGCGGGTCCGCAAAACACAGGTCGCAAAGCTCTTCGCAGACTCCTCCACCGTCGCTCTGACATCCTTCATCTCGCCCTACATCGCGGACCGCCAGATCGCGCGCGAGCTGCACGCCTCCTCCGCCTCGGGCGAGGACGACCCCATCCCCTTCGTCGAGGTCTTCGTCGACATCCCCGTCGAGATCGCCGAGCAGCGCGACCCGAAAGGGCTGTACAAGAAGGCGCGGGCGGGCGAGATTCCCAATTTCACAGGCATCAGCGCGCCGTATGAGAAGCCCGAGAAGCCCGAGGTGCATATCCGGACGGATCAGCTGAATATCGAGGAGTGCGTTGTGAAGATTGTGGAGTACTTGAAGGAGCAGAAGCTGCTGCCCTAGGTAGGGACTGGGGGGTGTTGAGGCCTGGGGAGAGCTTGAAGTCTGTGAGAAGTGTGAGATCTCGTATGTATGTATTGCGCACCTGGGTAGATGAAAGGGCTCGCTTGAATAGCGCCTGATCACCAATTGATGGTTTGCAGTGATATTTGCTGCCCGGTAGATGAATCAGAGCGATGAGAACAAATTGGACTGTCCGTTCATTGCCACTACTTTTGAACGCTGCGGAGTCGCCGATACAATACTACAATGCTCCCAATGCGCCAGGCTTGACAGTGCCCCCACCCCTCCCATTTCATCCTGATCTATACAATCTGAAAGTCGTAATAAACATAGGCGGTGTACTCGCTTCCCTCACCTCCGTGGCCTGCGACGCCAGCAGCGGCCATGTCGGATGACAGCGTCGAGTCGTCCTTTGTGACCTTTCCCTTCTTATCCCGGCCGAATGCGTTACCTCCCAGGTATGAGTAAGCTGTGTCTAGAGCCAGCTTTGCCTTCTTGGCCGATTTGGAGTTTGCCTATGCAGGTGTTAGCCATTTGAGATGTTCATAAGCACAGTATAGGTACCCACCTTGATCAGGCCACAAACAAAGTCCAGAGGCAGTCCATAACGCAGCACCGTCTCAACGAAAACCCGGAGGGTAAGAACATGGATCCAAATCATCACGCTCTCGCTCCACCCCGTGCGTCCCAGCCGTAACGCCTCGCCCCAGACCTTGCGCTCATCCCTGCCTATCCGCTCAATCTCCTTGCGCTCTTCCTCTTTGCCTCCCTCCACGTACTTGTAGTCCCGCGGCGTCCACTTCATCTCCCTGCACTTGTGCTGGAACTCCGCGCTGTGCTTCTTGAAGGTCGTGACGCCGAACAACGTGAATTCGTCGTCTTTCGTGATCTCGACCGAGGAGCGGGGCACGACCATGGGGGATAGCGTCTCGTAGCTCTTCAGGAATTCCTTCTTGGAGTTGTTGGGTACTGCGACGAGGTGGGTTTCAAGGTATTCGGAGTCTTGGATCAGGAGCTTCGGGTCGACGACGGGGGTGAGGGACTTGGTAGAGAGGTTTCCGCTGCGGGAAACATTAGCAGATGTATCGAGCTTTCAGGGCGGCCTCTCGCAGTCCTACGTCTGTTTCCGCTGGAGGGTTGTAAGGTTGGTCTTAACAGAGGTATACTGGGTATATTTGCTCTTAACATCGTTGTCGATGCTGACCAGCTCCTGGACCGACTTTAGCTGTGCTGTGGCACGTTCTTCCAGCCAGAGCCTCATACCTTCTGCAGCGAATCGATCAGCTCTGCCAACGGCTTGTCCGTACGGTACTTGACCTTGTTCCAATTGAAGCTTCGCAAGTACTGGTCCGCGGGCTTGTCGTTGACCGTCTTCTGTTGCGCAATCTTGTCCTCGTCGCCCTCTAGCAAGTTCTTCAACGAGTCGCCAACTTTGGCTACGACTGCCTCGCAGACGCTCTCCAGCTTGGCCAAGTCATCGGCCTGCTGTACGAGGGCATCGAGAGTTCCAATCTTGAAGTCGGGGACTTTGAATGGTACCAGCTGTGCCTCCGTGCCGATGGTACTTTTGATGGAGCCGAAGGTCTCTTGCTTGTCGTGATTTGTAGGTAGAGATATCAGCATGTATGTAGGGCTCGACATCGTGGGTAGGCAGGTGTTGCTGGTTGTCCCAAGCTGCAACAACAGGTCTGCGGGCACTTCCCTTACCGGATCAGAAGAGCTCTTATCGTGACCACGTGACTCGGGTCGTATTCATATCAGTTGAGTCGGTGTTGCGTTCAGCACTAACCTACCTTACTCGCCCTCAATACGACAAATTGACGATGTTCCCGGGTGACTGGAATCCAAATCCTCGTCTCTCGACAACGCTCGCCTTGTTCGATTTCAATGAAGGCTTGTTTTACGTCATCTCCAAGGCCCTACGTCTACACCACTCCATATCAATGACTGCCAGGTACGAGTATAACGCCTTTCCAATAGCTGGTGCAACACGAGAACACACTTCGTTGGAATATCTCCACAAAAAAAGGCCCTTTGAGCTTTGCAATTCCAGACGTCCATCATTACGCGGAATACGACGGTCGATACTACATTATCTTGAGCAGAGTGGCTGGCCAGACGCTTTCTGAGGCGTGACCTAACTAACATAGACGACGCAACGAAGCGATACTATGCTTCCGAGTGGGTTAATTTATGAGAAATCAGGTTCAGAGTTACTGGTATGAAGAGGGATTTATCGACATTCGGGAACGATGGTGCAGTTGGTGGCACGGTAAGGGCTGATTGCCATTCCTTCAGAAACGTTCTGCAGTCTATTGACCTTGGCCGTGGTGGAGCCTGAAATCATCAATCATAGGCCGCAACACGGCTCTGAAATCGGGCAATCGGTTTGCAACAGTATCAAGCATTTTGGTGTATTGGTTGTGCTTGTATGCCTCGACTTGCCAATTCGGGAGGCTTCTTTTAAGAAGTTGAGCATGGCTGTCGATATATTGAGAGGCTCAAACTTGTGGTACCAGGAGCTGCCTAGTAGCAGGCGTGAATTGAAATAGCACTAGGTCAGTACCCAACTATATACCATATAACTGACAGATCGTGTTCGGTCCTTGATTGCCAACCACTCCAATATCTATGTCGCATTAATGACTATGGCTGAAGAGCAAATCGCATACGGATTTCTGTCAACTTCTGAACATGCTAACTTCGAGGGAATTCCCTCTATATCAAAAGGATCGATACTATTCAAATTCGGTGGCCTCTGGGAATAACTCGGAGCCCCGCATCTAAAGGGCCAGCATCCATTTCCTCCGCTTTATATACCCCTCGGGAGGTCGTAAGTCGGACTCTTTAAAGACCCGCTATAGACGGTAAAACCATCATCATCTTCTTCTTCACCAGTAAAAAAACATGACGAATAAACTTCCAGGAGATTTCGTAGGTAATTCTCCTTGCTCGGTACCTTCGGAGTATGCCTCCACTAGGCGTTGACATATCTTTTGTATTTATGCGAAACTTCCTGCATTGCGTGACGTGTCTGCTCTATTGCTTGAAGTTCATTGCGTTTGGGAAATGATACATTGTTCTTTGCCGCTTCTGTGTCTGCTTTTCCGGCAGTACTAGTTGTGATCTACTGCCTCTTGGTAGGTCAGTCGACTTGGGCTGGCTTCGCAACACAGTACGAAGAAGGGTCTAGCATTGAGGCATTTCGCGTGCAGCTTGGGAATATTTGTCAAGGTCATGTTTCTTGTGATGCGTAGCTCTGTAACTGATTTCTAGGGAAGGGTGACTATGATTGTGGCTAATGATAACGACAAGTGACTCGTGTCTTTCACAGTCGGTTTGTTAAGCTGCTAAGCGAGCACACTCACCTTCGACCAGAACTGACTGAACGTTCGAGTGAGATACAATGGGTACAATACTAAATAAATGGGACACCTGCAATTATGTGCAGATAATATCTCAATTTCAATGAAGAGAACGTAACGCCGTTCCTTATAATATTGGCATCCTGTATTTACTGCATTGTCTGCTTTGTTTACTTCAGACCAGAACAACTTGACGGTACACTTTGTCCTGCGATCTTGCAAATCATAATCTTCGCGAATGCGTATAGATAGAGGGAAGGTGTTTCAGTTGCTTGAGAAGCCTGAGTTCGAGTTTCGTTGGCGGTCACGTCGGGTGAATGGGAATTAACGAATTCACCTTTCGACTAGACGAGCAACGAGATCGTCAACGTCCTCGCTACGCGTCGCACATCGACCCTTTTCCAAAAACCAATTCCACCTGTCTTGAGAACCTCATCGAACTCCAAATTTCTCCATACAACACCAACCTTACACAACCCTTCTCACGCGTGCGCGCTCAATCCCTCCATCATGGAGTACCTCAAAAAGATGATCCTCGACCCCGTCATAGCCATGGCGAAGGAGAAAGCAGCCAATTGGCTCACGGGGCAGCAACCAGACTGTGACCTCTTCGCGAACGTCGTACAACCTCTGCCGAACTCTCCGGTGAATATTGAGAGTCAGGAGAAGTGGGCAGATGCAATGGGCGGATGCGTTAAGGGGGTACGCAACGATAACAATGGCTTTGGTATCATGTTCAGATACAGAGAGCTATCGACCGTCACCAACCGTATGGCTTCCGTCCTCAATTGCCATACACGGAGCGACTCCATGTATGCCGAACACTCTGAGCGATGCGGAATCAAGGCCTTCCGTAAGTACATACTTCCTCTTCATTACCCTCGCGCTCCTCAACCTCGGGATGTTTCGTGCAAGTCTCGGATCACCGGCCCATCCAGAGACTGTGCTAATGGTCTTTCAAGATCCACGCGTCACGCCGAAAAACATTACCCAACTCCTGTCCGACGTCTCTTCCACGGCAGCAGACGACGGCGAAGAGGACAACACCACGCTCGTGGACATCAATATCACATTGAATCCTCCTAGTTACAAAACCGGAGACAAGATCGCTGGTCCTGTTGGAAAGACGGTTGATCCCAAGGAAAGTATTGATGACCACGCTGTCCGCCCGCCAGTCACGAAAAACTCGATCCTTGAGCGATCATCAAACCCCGAGCCTCACAACCTCCCTCCTTGCAGTTCATTCAAACATCATTCCGGCTTTCCAGCTGGCGCACTACCTACTCCCCCCAAGCTTACCTACCTGGATCTCGAGGCCACGTGCCAAAAGGCCAAAGAGTCCGACTTGCGACTCGAGGCTCGAGAGAAGGCTCGTACTCAGGAGAAGGACCGTCAGAACGGAAAAGGAAATTTTGAGAATGTATACGAGGAAGGAGAGGAGTCCAAGCCCCTTTGGGTCCGTTTGCAGGAGCAGGAGCCTGAGCTGCCGTAAGTATTCAGTTTGAAGCGTTCCGGAGCACCGCTTACGTTCGCCACAGGAATCACACCAACGAGTACACCTATGCCTACAACATGAGCAGTTCGAAGCTCCCACCTCCTCGCGAACCAACTATCCGTCGTGGGGAAAAGTTTGTGGATGGCTACGACTGTCAAGCCATTGCTAGATGGTACTCGTGGAATGGCCACCGCTACCCCATCGGAAAGAACAGTGCCGGCTTCGATGCACGATGGTCTGTCAACCGTAACGTGCCCCCAAGGCGAGGCGACCTCAAGCAGGCCTCATGGCGCAGAGCTCCCAACTCAAGCGGTGATAACATCAATGACCTGAGCCAGTTCTTAGAACCCGATGAGATCCGGGTAGCCTATAGAGAGAGATATATCATGAGAAATGGAAGGGAACCCAAAGGCAGAGACGTTCTAGTTGGCGTCACTAGGGAGGCGGGCACTGGCTTCCCTATCGTCTATACCCAGGGGGATCTCGACGATTTTGCGAAAGCAGCCGACAGGGAGGTAGCTGCCAAAGTCAGTGCCCAATTCAAGCAGTCACACAAATACGAGCGCCGCCCTGTACCTCCCAAGGACAGTTCTGCACCCGTCAAGAGCCTCCTCTCCATCTCGTTCCAAAAACTCAAGGCCGACCCCTCGTTCGCCTATTACCAGCCAAGACACGCTCCTCGATACCGTCTCCAATTCAACTCCGACGTCGATGAGGTTCCATGCTATCCAGACCGCCTTGCAAGACAGAAGACCGCGCAGGAGATCCCCCACGATATGAATTTCCGCATGCGAGGCGTTGCACCCAGCGGCTACGAAGTGAAACACTCCTCGGGTCCAGCCAACAAGAGCAGAAAGCAGGAGGGCAACGCGGCTACTGCAGCTGGCGACATGGACATTCCAAAGCTCGGCAGACACAACAAGACCAGCCCCATCGACACCTGTAAGTACTTCCCAACCCCTCCAACAACCGGTCTCGGTGCCTCCCTCCCCTTCCCTAAGTTCGTAAACTTTGAAAGGAAGATACACGAAAGAAGAAAAAAAGGCTTGAAAACCCCATGCTGACGAAGTCCCGTGCCCGCCTCACAGTGGGCAAGTCTTACACGCACGCGAGCAACGAGTGGGACGATGCCGTCGAGCCCGCCAAGATCTTCGCCAGCTCGTTCAAGCAGCAGACCGCCGTACCGGATCAGCGTTCGGGCGCAAAGGCGGCGCCTCTTTACAGAAAGCCCAGCGTTAGCCGTAGCAAGACCAACAGCAAGAGAATCAATAGCAAGGGCAACAACGGTAGCGGGAGCTGTGGCGGTGGCGGTAGCGGGAACAAGCATCTTCGTTAGTCCTCCCCTCTTCCTCTTTTCCCCCTTCACCTGCTCTCAGAGGAGGCGGCAGGCAGACTATACATTCATGAATTACATGAAAATAAGACGAGGCAAAAAGGCTAACGTAACCCTCCTCTTCTTTTCCCGCCGACGGTAGAAAATCGCAAAGTCACCGATCCCCACAAGATGGTGCACATCCCCGTGACAATTGTCGAGATGGCCGAGGACGCCGAGGACGAGGAGGCGCGGAACCCGAAGTGGATGCTGGAGCTGCTTGGTCCGTAATGCGTGATGCTGGCTACCTAGGCAGAGCTCTGCGTTGCGATGTCAATCACGGAAGACTCTCTCAGTGACCTTTTACGAAATTCATACGACATGGACGAAGCTACACACGACATGGACGAAATTACATAGACGGACGACCTCACGAAACACTCTTGGACTTTGGAATGATAAAGTTCACGAAACGAAACGAAGCGAAACGCGACGAATTTGATGATTTGACATGGATCCAGACGAAGAGAGAGAGGAGAGTACATTATTGATGCTGATGCTGAGGCATGAATGCATGCACTTCATATTTGGGGGGCGCGCAGCAGGATAGAAAATACCCAGGCAGGATAGACCGACTTCATCTTTCTTCTGGATGGATGGATGCTCCTTATTTTTTTGCTCTTTTTTCCTTTTTTTTTGTCTTTTGGCATGCGTGGCGAAGCGAGTAAGGGGGTGGCTGGATGTGGGCTTTTTTTTTTTCATGAGATGATGATAATTATGGAGGGGGAAGCATAGGGGAGAGAGAGAGAGAGCCAACTAGCCAACTAGCTAGCCATAGATGAAATATACCCGCTTTCTTTTGAATTCTTCTGAATCCCTCCCTCCCGTCGTTTACGGCAATTTACGGGCAAGAATTCGAGGAAAAACCGCCCGCTTTTCATGGTTTTTGTTATCTTTATGTATCATTACTTTTGTTATTCAAGATTCGAGATGTAATCTTAATTATTGCTTGGTTCTCGAGGGTGAGATTGGCTGATGTTGAGTTTTCTTTCCTGAAATAGATTGATTCGGATAGATTCGGATTGGTTCGACGTTGGTATGTACCAGGTAGGTATATATTAACTAAGGTATGCTATGTAATGATATGATGATATAATACAAGTGCGTACATACATGCGAGAGAAAGAGGAGAGAGAACTGATCTAAGGAAGAGGCGAGAGAGAGAGAGAGAGAGAGAGAGAGAGAGAGAGAG